GAAAAAGTCCGAGCCTGGTTTTGCATGGACCCTGGTGATGTCCTGGGCTAACAAATATCGTGCACTCTCTGCTTTCAAGAGAAATCCCTTCAAGAACAATGCTCCTGTGAACGAGAACTCTCTGATCTGGAATATGTACCGACTGAGTCTGACTCGAATGAGGTCCCTACAGGCCCACTCCACTCACTGGCGCGCAACCTGCAGCTACCCGACCCATGGCGTTGATTTCACAGACTACGTCCGCAGTAACTTCAAAGACTTCAACATTGTCGACTTTATTGGGGCTGGTCAGTGTAAGAAGGTGGAGTTTGTGAATATCCGGGGGCACATGGGTATTCATCTCACCGCAAGGTTTTGGCAGGGCACTAGTTACATGTTGCACATCGACAGCAGCCATTCCGGCTGTAACTTCGACCCGCGGTCCGGCTCAGTGTCCGGTGAAGATAACTTTGGTCATCACTATGTCATTAATCCCAAGTTCCGTTGCACAGCAAGTGATCTTTCCACCACCCAGTGGTGGTTTGGCGCCCATCTGTGACCAGCAAACGAGGCTCTCAGCATACAAATATTCATTCTGCAGACTAAATTTAGGAAATAACACTGTAGTCTTTTGAAGATTCTTCAATAAAGCCTGAGGTATTAAAGAACTGGGCATGGTGTGCATTCTTAATTAGAAACTCTTTGTCCTTTCGGCGTTCCTTTAATGAGCAGTTTTTACCAAAGAAAGTTCATTTTCACAAACCTTGAGTTTGTACAAGTTACTCAGTTTCGTCATGTGCGTTCGTAAATTTCAGGACGCCCATCGGCTAAGAACAGGTCCCATTATATCCCAATGCCAAACACTTTTAAAAGTTGAAACTTAATGCTAATCATTATCAAGGAATCAAATTATTATGAGTGTTCCTCGCAGTAAATACTGCCTACCCCTCCCCCACGCTTTAGCTTGGACAATACCGTTTTAGACAGAGCGAAACATCGGAAAATAAAACGTCGGGGAGCGGGCGAGATATTTTTTGGGGGGGGTGGAGGGGGCCACGTAGTTTTCAAGGGGGTAATGGGGAGGGATCAGTCGTCGACAACAGAGTTTAAAGAATTGATTGCCAGTTAACGGCCAGTGAAGGGGATCATAAGGACATTACAGGGCCTTAGGGGAGATCGGGTAAATTTTATCTTAACAACCAAAATCCTCCCATAAAGAGCGGTCCCTTTATAGAAATCATAAGATTTTGAAGCATCTATAGTGTTTCTTTCTGTACAATTCCATTGAAGTGCAAAGTTGGAGGTGGCGAGATGCATTCTCCATTCGTCATTCTTTATTCCTGATTCCCATCTTTTATTCCTTTTTGTTCCTTCTTTATTCCCATTCTTTATTCCTCATTCTCCATTCCACATTCTTTAGTCCACATTCCTCATTCTCCATTCTCTATTCTCCAGTCCCCATTACCCCTTCCCCCTTCCCTATTCTTTATTTTCCATTCCCCATTCCTCATTCTCCATTCTCCATTCTCCATTCTCCATTCCCTATTCCCTATTCCCAATCTCCACTCCCCAATCTTCCTTCCCCAATCTCCATTCCCCAATCTCCATTCCTCAATCTCCATTCCCCCATCTCCATTCCCCAATCTCCATTCCCCGATCTCCATTCCTCAATCTCCATTCCTCAATCTCCATTCCCCAATCTCCATTCCCCAATCTCCATTCCCCAATCTCCATTCCCCAATCTCCATTCCCCGATCTCCATTCCTCAATCTCCATTCC